ATTTTATTCTCTGCAGAAGACTCTTATGGCATTTCTTGATCATCTCAGCATTAGCAGGTCAGTTTATAATCCAAACAATATCAGTAACTACAGTCACATTACTACCATGTGTAGTTTTATTGATTTTATATAATGGTCATGCCATTGACACATTGATTGAGGCTGATTTTCTGTGATTATTAGCCCTTAAGCCTAGCCTAGGCAACTTTAAGTAGGAGGTTAAGACATTCATCTTGGTAGCTAATTTTATGCCATGTAATGGATCAGACATACCTTGATCAAAGACCTTGATTGAATAGGCCTTCAATAAATGGCCTGATTGTATTATTTAGATGGAAATCATGTTATGATACATTTATTTCATTGAAGTTTTGGGAAGTAATTCTTTTATGCTCACAGTATCCCCTCTATTTGAAGGGCAACAGGCACTGCGTTCAACGCATTTTTAGTCCTCGGGCGAGCGCACGCAAATAGGCCGGAATAGAAGACCTGGGCGGAGTCCGAATACACCGTCTGGTCGGGAGGGCGCCCACAGGCCAGTGAGACCAACGGCTCACTCTGGTCAGGCATGGGTGGGCGGCGAGTACGTGGTATATGCGAAGAGGGGAGTAGGCACGAGCAAAGCTTGTAGTAGCATATAGTCCGGATGAGTATACAGTACGTGTTACGAAGAAGACCAGAGCAGAATAGACTGGGTACGACAATGTATTGCAGATCGTACAAACACGTACAAAGAACGCGCGCGCGTACGCGGTCAGCTGCCCATATGCAGCAGCGCGCTGCATCCAGCTTGCCCTTTCGCCCGCGACCACCGTTCCCGTCCTCCACATCGTCCGACAACGATGTCGTCGACCTGTCCAGCAAATATCACCGACGAAGAAGTTAGAGCGACCTGGAATGGCCTACCTGAAGCCGCGCGCAGAGCACTCATGAAGGAGGCCGCCGGTACCGGGTCCACGGCGGCCTCAGGCCAGGGAGGCGGCGCTGCGCACGTCCATTCAGGCAGCGTGACGCGAGGGGGGATTGGACAGAGAGGAAGAGGAGGGTGAGTGCGCTTATCACGCGCATACAGCCGCTGTGCAAAAATGTTAACTTTATATGCGCATATACAGAGCCCACGCACCTACACAGCCCAGAACCGGGGGCCTGCGTCGCCACTCAACCCCGCCACATGATCCTCGCGAAGTACGCCGCCCACGTCAAGAAGGCCCCCAAGAGATGTATGGAATCCCACCTGTCGACCACATCCTGCCACAGAACGGCATGGGTCTGTATGGAATGGATCTCTTCGGGTTTGACCCTCTTGCAGCACCGGGTCTTCCAGGACACGCCGGCGGCCCCGGCTATATGCAGGCTCAGGTCCCGTCAGCGATGAAAATAATGATGGGTCAGATGATGCAGTCCGTGACTCACCTGACAGGCATCGTCGCGCAGAGCAACACGCAGATCGCGAAACTTACCGCACAGGTCTCCGCGCAGGCAGCTGATGGGGAGGGCGTACAGGTGGAAGGGACGGCATTACAGGGAGCGTGCGCGCACGGCAGTCACAGTGGAGCCTACGCAGCGCGTGGGCGGCGGCCTGCAGGTCGAGGGGGTCGCGCGGCTGTTGTGGTCGAGGTGGACGTCTCGATGGCCAAAATGGAGCTCAAGCTGCTGAGCAAGACACAACGCGCCGCGCGCGCCGCCATCAGTGTGAGTTGTATGCGATGATATGTCGTGTAAGGTACTTACTTGCGTGTCCAGAAACTCGCTGCGAAGACAATCTGAGAGCTTACGGGCATCTCCCGTGGCAGCGCATGGCCGGCCTATAACCCCGCAGAGGCCCGCAAAAACCCCGACACTGAGGAGCCGTACTTTGACGTACATTTCACCTCTCGCACGGGTGTAAATGACCCCGTCAATGTGAAGCTTCTTCAGCAGGTCGCGGAAATTGTGGAGGAAGATGTCAACGTGAGTACAGCGTGTTACACACAAGCACAAGACCGACTCACCGTGCGTTGAGAAAGGCCAAGCCGAAGTTGCATCTGTGGGTTGAGGCGGCCGATGTCCCGTTCTCGCAGATGCTCGTGTACGAGATTGCCAAGGAGACCTGGGCGAACTTCAAAAGGAAGTACAATGCGCAGCATGACGAAGAGAAGAAGCTCGCCCAGGAGATCAACAACATGAATAGCCGTTGGCAACTGCGTCGGAAGCAGGTAAGTTTTGGATACACTCGCGGGAGATTGGTACTCATCATGGCTTTCAGAAGTATCGCTGCTTGTCGAGCGCCGCCCCGAAATACAAGGCACGATACGGGGTAGACCCGACCCCGCTGCTCGACATCTCACAGATGTCTGATGAGGCGAGCGGTCCGGATCGTGCATCCGGTGAGAGCAAGCCTGACTGGCGTGCACGCATGGCTGGTCTTCTTGGGATGATGGATGTGACGCCGGAGTTCATCAAGACCTTGCCCGTGTTTGAGGTGATCAGATCGAACTGGCAATCAGATGAGGTAAGACACACCTCTACACGTCTAGCAGCCTATTCCTGACGTCCTGCAGTATCGGGAGATGTCCAAGGAGTTGCGTGAAATGTATGCGGAGTCACTCACAGCGAAGCAAGCACAGACCTCCAAGTTCCGTGTCCGTAACTTGGGCCGTTCGTCTGACACCCCGCCCGCTGTTGCGCCCTACAACTTTGGCATCAACATGGAATGGCTCGACGCACACAAGGATATGGACACTTACCACGCACTTCTCCACGACTGGGGCACATACGAAGATCCGGTCGGGTTCGGCTCTTCGTCCGGCGGTGCTAACGGTGACGATGGCGAACAACCGGATCGAAACGGAGCACAGCTACCTGGGAACGGTCTGGGGGACGAAGACGAGGACGAGGAGGACTAACTTGATCTCTGGGGTTTCACTTGCACACTGGCGACGCTCTCCCGCCTTCTCGGAACTCCTGCTCGGCAACTCACTCTCCTGCGGACCGCACTATGTTTAGCTTCTTGGGACTGATATCAGAGAACACAAATCACTTACTTAGGCATAATGTAACTGTGCGTGTGCGTGCATAGGTAGTGAAAGTAGTGTACAATATAGATGACTTCAGTGATACAGATACCTCGGGATGTGAGACCGCAGTGAGAGCGAACACCTGATAGCATGTGAGCGGCCTGATCAAAGCATAGTAAGGGTACGTACAGAATGGCGCGCACCGGCAATACATACCCGCGGTCACTCATCGTTATCGCCTGGTGCCAACGATATGCCGTGCCAGTCAAGGGTAGTAGTCACCCAGATCTCCGTGTCGGTATTAGCGACGGTGCATATCCCACGAGTGAGTTGACATCGTATCAAGCTGGCTGGGATGAAAGTGGACGGGGTGGTGGAAAGGCCGGCATCGAGGTGCTTCTGGTACTCCCAGAACCGCACATCAAGCTCAGGACTGATAATATTAGGTTAGCGCTCTCAGATGTACACGGCATGGTCACTTACTATGGCGCCCAGGGGTCTGTAGTGACAGGGGAGACTCCAGCAGCTGCGGGGACAAGGTACATGATCTCCGCAAAGACTCCTGAAATTGACGGGCTGATGCCGGCCTGTTCGTGTAGGTAGAGCGCTGTAACCTCACCATAATACTCCTGCCCATGGATGATGACCTTGACAAGAGCAGAAGAGGAGTGCCCACTGGCAGAGCCTTGATGAGAGGTGATGCGGCGGCCGTCGAGGAAGATGTGATTGAGCACTGTAGCATAAGTGTTCAACCGCACTGTGTTGACTCCGGGAACGTTGTCGTATGCTATCCGGGAATCGGATGATTGATAGGTGAAAAAGGGGTGAGGGGTTGGGCGATGTTGATTCCCTGATGCTGCCGCAAAGCGTGTGGGGTTTCCTGCTTTTCCAACAGTGGCTTCGCCGAGTTCGTGACTAAGCCGGGCGGGCTATGATCCTTGAATAACTGCTTGTGTGGTGGTGTGTGGGTGATTGTGGTGTACTGAGACCTATGCGGAAGTCTCGGATGGTGGTTGCCCTGAGTATCTGGGCAGAGTCTCCCCTATACTGGTTGGGAGTGTTGCGTGCTGGCTGCGTAAGGCTGCGAGTGCCTGTCTTCTAGACCCCGTATTAAACACACCCTGTGGTATGTCAAGTGACGTGTCTTTCCTGGCTGTAGACCCCGTATTAAACACACCCTGAGTGGCGTGTCAAGTGACGTGTCTGCCGTGGACCCCGTGTCAACGTGCCCTACGGTGGCGTGTTGAGTGATGTGTCGTGCTTCTGTCTTCGTACCA